TAATCGAAAAAATCTCTGATTTCTGATTAACATTTCATGAGACCGGTCACTGATTGTAGCTCACTTCTTAGGTAGCGGGCCACTGGGACTTACCTCCAGTTTTTTCGAGCGCCAACTGTTCTATGATGGGCGCTTAACACACAGTATATGGGTATCGAGGATTGGAGCAGGAAAACCGGCTTTGTTGTGCTCCAGGCACGACAGATGACGTCCAGTTTGGTTTTCTCGGTGGCCAAGTTTTATATGTGGTACATCTTCCTAGGGGAAAGCCGGACTCACATGTTCGGCCGTCACGTGATAATTTGCAGAAACTTATGGAACACATTTTCATCCAGCGTCCTCCGTTTCCTCCGTAGGTGCTATCGCTTTTCTGAATCGCAGTTGCTTACTGTTGTTTCTCATGCTCTTATGTTTGTAGCTCCTGTATCCATTGAACTGAGGTTTTAGCCGTTTCCATGGTAGATTCGTTTCCGTTGTGTCAGAAGTCAGATCTTGTTTATACTGCTCTCGTATCTACGACTATTGGTTGACCATTTATATCTGCAGTCAGGCTGCTAGGCCTTGTTTATCCTGTCTACGCCGTTGAATCATACATGTATACACGAAGGGCAACACTGTTAAACAGTCCTTTTGAGTACAAATGAATCTACAGCCATTACGTCTTCCTCGACTTGGTTCTAAGCGGTCTTTAAGTCCGGCCTACAGCTGTTCACTGACAACGGGAAGTCGTACCCATTAAAGCATGAATGTGTGCACATTGGTTCTTCGTTCACTTGCGATGTGTGAGAGACATGAAGGGGCTGACGTTAGTGCGCAAATATAACAGCATAGTCGTTTTTTGATCTAGGGGAGGGTCTATTTAGGTAGTGAGTGCTCCCCAATAAGATTGTATAAACAGCAAATGAAGACAAGGGTGCATATGTTTTCAGTATATCCGTCAAAGTTTTTGATTTTACACATTTGTTGGGTTTATGCCCGAATACGCCTAACGTAACCTTTACAAAAACGTCACTATCAGTCTTTAGGGCGCCATTCATACTAGCCTTAGAGGAAGTAGTCGTAATGAACTCCATACCCACGCTTTTACTATCACCACCATGCAGACTTTCCAACTTAGGTCACAGAACAGCCAGCATCTCAAATAAATTGGGAGAAACAATCGTCTGAAATAAGCTCTGTGCGTTAGGCGTCAAACTACCGTCCTCCAAACCCCACTAGCACAGTGAGCCAAATCTTGGACGCAATCCCCTATAATTGCATCGACACCCTCCTTACAGGAAAACGCTAGATCGGAGCTTGATCGAAACTACAAGTAATTGAATGTATGTCATCTAAAATGCTGGCTACTATTGGGATCTTTAAAGATTCCCTCCCAGTTTGCCTCCTACTACTCAGTTACATCCACTTTTGTTCCGAAAAACGTTTGGCTGTTTTATAGTCCCGTAAAGCATTACACTTTTATCCAGGAGAGTGAAGTTCCAGTTAATGCGTAGACCAATCAGCGTGATCTCACAGCAAATGCACTATAATTTGTTGATTGAACGTAACCCACACGGCGTAAGCGATACTGGTAATAATGGTGAAAATGATTGTACTTAATGCCAGTTTACGCGCAGTTCCTAAAGACGAGGGCGTACCACGTATTTACTTTTGTCATAAGTTCGAGAATCATGACTTCCGCTAACTTGTCACTATTGGAGCGCTGCATGCAAAGAAAACAGTCATCTTCTAAGGCCATTCCACAACTTCTAGACAAAACGTCCGTGGGTCGTTCAGTGTTTGATCTGCTAAACATGAAACCCATACCTCCAATGGAGTATCAAGTTTTAAACAGAGCGCAGTGCCGAACAGCAAAGATTCTTCTCCATCCTGGCTAAGCAGTTGCGCTGTTCCCCTGTTTGGACACTCATCGACTGCTTTGCTGGCTATAGAAATTTATCTCACCGCGGTCAACATATCCTCAGGTTTCTTCAGCCTTTTCAGCTCGCCAATCGTTTTTGCATCCCGTCAACTTCTGCTGCAGTAGTCCTCGGCTTTGGGAGAAGGTCTCCTTTTTGTCATAGTTCCTGTCGTATGTAGCTTGTTTTTCCAGAATGGCAAACGACGGATTACTCTGTCATCGTCAAACCAGTCCTGGTATTATCGGTATGCGCGACCACACACTTCATTAATTGTGGTCTGAATGTCCCAATTTTTCCGACGGATTGATAGCCTTGTGGTCATGAGGCGGTCACTGACGCAAATGGAGTCCAAGCAAGAGAGGTATCATCCATGCTGGCGCACGCATAGGCGGGCCTTCTGCGAAGTAAACCATTGTTTCTAGGCCCTTCTTCATACGTATTGACCCTTTCTTGCCCCTGAAGCACACTGAATATCGGGAGAGTGCGTGTGGTACTTACCTGAACTTGGTGCGACTGTGTTTGTGCCTGATCTAGCCGGCCTCGATGATGTCGCGGGCTATACCAGCCTACGCCTGTTTATTTTTTAGCATTCATACTAGCCGCATCTTTCGGGGGAAGGAAGTAGAATGGCTTTGGCGTAGTCCCGGGGGGTTGACATTGGGTCATCTTAACGAAAAACGCTTCTCGAGTTATTTTGAAAAAAAACCAGAGTAGATGCTTTTGATTTTGACTGTCAGGCCAATTTTATCTGTTATCGTTTTTTTCTGGATCATTAAATTATTGCCCGACTCTTAACGGAGAAGTGTCTTGGGAATCTGGTTTCACGCCGGAGGCAAGTTGGCACTGCGGGTACTGTGGCTGGTCACTCAGTCCGGGGTCTGAACGACTTGTCTTTGCTGATAGAAACAAAGAGGCGAGTCCCATGAGGCAGTCGTGAAGAACGAGACTCGATCGCTATAACAAGAGCTTTATTAACCTGACGTTTCGGATTCTCACTCAAATCCGTCATCAAAGACAGATGGTGAATTCGAGTGAGAACCCGGAAAGTGGGGCCAATAAAGCTCTTGTTCCAGCGATCGTGTCTCCTTCTTCGCGAACCTTCTTTAGGAGGAATTGACTTACAAGATCTTTTCCAAGTTACTTATCTATTTTGATGCATCAAAACTCCTTAAATTCGAACTTATTAAACAGCTCTACTTCTGGAAAGGCCGTAAAAAGAAAGGGTACCTTCAATGAGTGACTGATCTCATGAAATGTTAGCCGAAATTCTGAAGTGTGTTTTCGATTAGGAAGGATTACCTGAGCGGCGTTGTAATACTGACTCATTTTTGGCGTAATCCTGTGATTTTTCAGATACAGCAGGGGTTGACTTTTGAGTGCACTTCTTTTCGGTCGTCAACAAAAACCGCGTTTGGTAAAAATGGCTACTTAAGTACTTCGCATTTTCTATCGATTTTCGATGTCCTTATAACTTCAAGGATATTTCTCGTAAAACATGCGCAAAATTTTTTTCTTGTACTCATTAGGTAGCAAATTACATTTTCTTCAAATGTTATACTCGATGAAATGGCACCTTTCGGTTTTAAAGCATTTCTGATTATGAGATTTATTAAGACTGTGTAGTGTCTATTCGGGAAGCATCGCGTCTATCTGTTTAATAATGTTCTTTATTAAGCATACAACATAGTGCACCTTCGTTGGAATATTTTGTGAGTCACATATGATATTTTCTTAATGGCATAAGGCAATGCCTTTTTTCTTACGGGGGAATTATGCAGCCTAAAGATCGAAGATCCTAAACAAAAATGCAACGGTAGATCGAGTTCAAAGTTACTCGCGAATTGAAAAAGTTCTTTAAACTAGAAGAAACTCTTTTTAAACATACAATTTAAAAAAGGATTAATTTCCTATCAAGTAAGTACAAGAAGCACTGTCTTATACAATTTTAGCTATAAAACAAGTTTGAATTTACAAGGGCACCGAAAATCGGTATAGAAAATGCATACTACTTAAGAATTAATCTTTACTGAGTGCAACTTTTGCGGGCGGCTGAAAAAAGTGCATTTGACAGCAAACACTCTGAGATATCCGAGATATTACGGGATTAAGTGGCAAGCTAGTCAATCCTTCCTAATCGAAAACGCATTTCGGAATTTCCGGTCAAAGTTTCATGAGGTCTGCCACTGAATGAAGGTTATTTCCACCTCTAGTTTAGGCCCCCTAGTGTGAAACAGCAGTGAAGAACAAGGGCTGTTGTTGCGCTTCCATCACAAACCCGCCCAATGCTGCTCATGCAGGTAGCTCGTCTTCATCCCCATGCGCGGTACGAGGTAACATCTGCCCTATCGGGCGCGGTTTGTTCAATTCGATGCAGAAATGAAGTCCAAAGTGGCTCTTTAGACAGCGAGGGGTGGGGTTAAGTCATTTGCCCTCTTGTCAAACTACTAGTCGGTGCCGCAGGAAAATGTCTATCGCTGAGTTTGGTTTATGCCCTCACTGCCAGATAAAAACCTTGTCGGCAGATTAGGAACGACTGACACTCACTGGTAGTATGCTCCCTCATTTCTCTACCCCTGCCAAATGTTTGATAAACTGGATGAGCCGCAGGTTTTAATACCCTTTTTCGGACCGTCTATTGCTAGTCCCACTGATGGTGACTACTGACCGATTTTTTGGTGTCCTAAACTGCTCTCGCTTGCTCGGGATTTGCAGACAAAAATCGGCACGGACAGTTTTTCCCTCTTCCGAGCATCCCCGAATTTACAATTACCGGATTTCCCTACACAGTGACTCTGAACACTTAGGTTTTATCGTTTTGTTGCCTCCGGATCTCATCCCCTGTTAGATTTGATTTTTCAAGGATAAAAGCGTTGGGCCGAAAATCTGAGAATAAGACGTGTATGCGATCGTTGAATAGAGGTCTTTCGTCTTTGTGTCATTGGAGGTAAAGACAAAAGGAAGTGATTATTAGGATACTAATTATACGTGCTTTTGAATTCTCTTCTGTCATTTTTTTGCCTTCGGACAACCACCTGACCCACTTTATCTTCGTTTTTATTATATGTTCCTTACTAACAAGAAAGTCCTATTTTTATAGGTATGTCTGGCGATGTGGCATTTGAAGAACCAACCTATTGTAAGTCGATTAAACAGTTTAGCACACCCTTTTATCTGTCACCCCTTAGCAGATGAGCCATTCACTTTTCATCTTTTAGTCATGTCGAGTAGGACAAAGGTTGTTCTTTCTGTTTCGTCGAAGTTTTCAACCGATAAACCGACTCTACTTTCTCGGGCTTATCAAATATAAATTTATTTTAACCCAGTCATTGACAGTAAATGTGCCATGTTTGCCTTCAGTAGAGAATTATGAAATACTTTGTCTGTTAACGACATCTTTCCCAGCATTTTGCTTTAGATTGCGGAGATCTGACAAAGTATGGGTTTCAATCTGGCATCTTTAGCTCCTAACCCACCCATATCATGAATTAATAAAATGAAACGAGTGGATATGGGAAAGGGTTAGTCGATTTAGATGTAAGAGGTTGATTAACAATGGGCGAAGGTGTTCGAATATTCTGAGTGGGACTCCTGGCATTCCGACTTCTTATTTGTTGTTCTCCAGATTTAACCTGCAATTTCAGTTTTTCATGTTCCGATCCTCCCCCGTATTGTCGACTCATTAGCCGTTTTCAGCCAGTAATGTCCCAGCCGCCAGTGCCGCCACACCTGGGATTTAAACAAGGGTCTAGTGGCTTGACGAGCATCTACATTCGACGCTCTGTCTGTTTAAGATATCGGGCCTGCATTCTGTTGTCTTGGATCGAGAATATTCAGTCGAATAAAAGTGGTGCTCGTCGACTGCATGCTGGAGACGCGTGTTTCCGTTTTTCTTGAGAGCTCTGGATATACAGCCCACCCAGTCGGTTTCCCAGCGATCAGTCATAATGGAACTTCTAAGGCTGGTTGGCCACCGCCACACGACAGCCTGGATGGACCCTACACGCGGAGCCTTAGGACAAACTGACGAGTAATCGGACCTCGGGTGCGCTAGCATCTGCAGTGGAGAATCACTGACGGATGACGAAATGGTCACCACAGTGTTTGTTAGTAGCCCTTCTCATTGATAGGATTTATACAGAGATGTAATTACTGAAAGTACAATTTTTCCCGGCATTCCTGAGTAGTCGAGAGCGTTACACCGACAAAAACAAGGTGAGAGCAGTGGTCCATTCTGACTTATCTGCCATCAGCTAACCACACTGTGAGGCACTGGGTATTTGGTCGAAATCAGTCTATTTGAACTAACAGGCACGCAATGGTGTAAACACTAATTGGCTAATCGTTGTCGAATTGACTAAGTTTAGCCTTCAAGTTTGACATCTCCCGTTTCTCACAGAAATTCTCTCCGCAGAGCGCTTCATCTTAACACATCAGAACTTCCATTTTCCAAAGCTTTGAGCAATTGAAAAACACTTGGCCCCCAATATTCCCTTTTTTTACCTAAACTCATATGTCTTCGAGCGAATTCAGGATGTTTTCGTGGTGCCAACATCAACCCGAAATCCGTGTAGTTTTTGGGTTATGTATCGCAAAAAAGGTAGAAGTTCGGAGGACTGACAGTCTTTCTGCGTTACGTGCTTCAGTCCATGCGTGCGTAGCAATGTGTCTAAAAGTTGGCTTTCATCAACGCCGAATTTCCATTTTTTTCACTACTGTCTTCGTCTGGTCTGTTGCGTGCACATTCGCGGGACATAATCTGATAAGGCATGGGCATAGAAACCTCCTCGGTAATACAGACTGCCTTACGCTAAATTCCGGGAAAAGGCGCCTATACCCGCGTCCTAATCCAAGCCCCAAACTTAACTCCAATCGTAACCTTAACCCAAACGTTAGTCCTAACCTTAATCTCCCCGAAATTCAGCGCAAAGCCACCTGTATTATGGGGATTCTATTCCCGTGCTTTCGTGCTTTGAATGGTTCAGATGGCAGAACTCTTAATTAAAAGAGTCTGCTCTGTAATTTATAAGCAGTCTTGCTTGGAACTCTTGGAGAGCATTATATTTTTCACGAAAGCATCATCTGGTCGGGTTTTCTGGTGACGATCTCTATATTAAACTTAAGAACGACATTCAAGGCGCAGTTTACCAACGGAAAACCGCACAATGGAGCTGTAGTCTTTTTCCGGTTCATGCCCAGTAGCAGGAGTTTCTTCTTAGTTTTTTGTCCATTCGAAAGTGTACACCAGTCTGTCATCAATAGTGATTGTTTTAGCCCTCCGATTATTTGACCGTCCGACCGTTATATGGTTGATTCTACTGCAGCTTGAACCATCGTGTTCCGAGAGGGCCTTTTAATGATTCTAATTTTGTTTTGGGCTTCTTCGACACTGATGTTTTGTTCTGTTTCACTCCAGAACCCTTTACTTTTCTACGCCTGTGCTATCTCCTTTCCGTCAGGCTTAAAATGCGGCACCCAGAACACACGAAATCTCGACAGTCGCAAGCGAAGATGCTTGCCACTTTCCCATGATGTTTTGCGCGTGAATTAGTTTATAACGGCGGCTCGGATCTCGTGTAGGTAAGACTAGTACGTGCGCGACATTAGAAATGATCGGTTGCAGCTTGATCTTCAGTCTTGAATAGGGCCGAGCTAGCTCTCCAGTTCGAAACCTCTCAGGCCTCGACTCTTGACCCGTCAGATTTATTATAGGCCGGAGTGTGTTGATCTGCCATGAGGGTGGGTTTCTCAGTGTTGGTTCCACTCTCTTCCCTCTCCCACGCTCCAGTCGACTGTTAGATCCTGTCAGGTAACCGGCGATGAGATTGGGCACGGTAACTGGCAACTGCGACTGCAGGGGAGATCTCCGTACTGAGCCATTAGGCACAGTGGGACGAGTACTTCCGTAACCCGATCAGTGAACACACTCCAAGGTGATGGTTCGCCCGTCATACTGGCGCTGGCAAAGTGAATTGCATGTATGCTGCAGGAGGGAATTGTGATGGGCTGCAGAGAGGTATCGCGACACACAAACCTACTCCACATTATGCTGAAATTGAGCCGGCTTCCTGTACTTTGTCGTTGTGAGGGTTTTTCATGGGGATTGTAGTAGGTTTAGGTCGACTGTGGTCTCTGTTTTGAGGATTCCGTCGGACACCATTAATGACCAATTGAGGACTCCCCTGAAGTGCTTGACCCAAAGCTCCAGAATCTGTAATCTGTCCGTCAAGAGGGACTGTTCCATCGGAGCTTTATGGCGGTGCAGCTTGTCTTCATAGTCACGAAGGGGTTCTTCATTTCGTTAGAGTTTGCGTACCCTTTGACGCCCTTACCTGTGCAAGTCCTTCAAATATTGTGCACCCCCTCCAGCATCCATAGTAAGAAGACTCAGCTTATAACCTCACCTTCGAGACAACAAAGCGGTGGTCCGTCCAGCCATCAGCACCACACATTGCCTTCTTCCATGGCATATCACTCATATTGCGCCTTCTGACGAAAACGTAGTCCAGCGATTGCCAGTAGCGTGAGCAGCGGTTCACGCATGTTGTTTTCTACTGGCTGGCAAATCGAAAGTGAGTTCTGGTGACGAGAAGATTGTGCTCAGTTCAGACTTTCGCAGCCATTACCGCTGCAGTTGCCAATTATTCGACGACTTAACACTCCCTTTCAGGCGGCGTGGTTTGCCGGGCATTGAAGTCGTCAAGGTCTAGCAGTCTGTCCGCTCGCGCACAGACGCTAGTGGGCTGTGCAGGTCTTCGTAGAATTTGATCTTCACGTCACTAGGGCTGGCCTTTCATAGTGGATAGGGGTGTAAACGTTATTGATTGTGGTGAGCTCTGCGCGGACATCATGGGGTGACCGTTGATTCCCTGTTGGAGGCAGGACCGTCATCCCAAGGCTGATTTCGCTATCCAGCCAACATCCCACTATCCGCTCATTAGTGGCGCACTAAATAGCGTTTAGATATGACCGATGTCTTCAACTTCATTGTGACCCACTGTCTAGTCGCTCAAATGTCAACTACTCAGCCCGCAACAAGGTAAGGATATTCAAGGCGGCAAAGAAGCAACCTGCACATGTCAAAATGACATTTGGCACATAACCAAAATAATGCTGCTAAATGTGGTACGAGCTGGTGTCTACACGCCGTTTTAGGTATTCAGCTCAAATGACTATCTCTGTTCTGACAAATTTACCTCTTAATCTAATATTTTCCTCTTGATTGACAAGAATTTCAGGCAACGATCGGGTGAGGGACCCCAAAGACACACAAAGTTGCCTGTCTTACGGGCAAGGTGGTAATAGGTGTTTTACGGGAGGGGCCTATGTATGCATAGAGGAATGGCAAAATAAGTATAGGTAATTGGTAAATTCGTTTGTCGGGCAGAAAAGTTTTAATGCATTGACATGTAGCAGCTGAAATTAACCATGACAATTAAAAAAATAAACAGTAAGTGTCCGCAATGATCGCTTCTCAACTCTCTGATCTGAGGTGATTGTAGATAATTCACCAGATCGTCTACAACAGACGACCCTAACTAGCACGATGAAACACCAAACTAAAATAATCGTGTCGGACTAAAACCAACTTAAATAAGTATGGTAGGCATTCTTTGTATGCCACAGATGCTTGGGGGTCTTCAACCGAATTTCACTTGCCTTTTTCAGCTTAACGCAAACTTTCATAGTTGTAGTATTTTCTGTTTTTAAGAGTGAATTTAAGTCTTCCGAATTAGGCTCTTTTTGTTTCACGTTTTCATATAAGCCTTCGTTTTAACTAGTCACACAGGCACAAAATTCACCTGCCCTTTTCTTCTCCTTTTAGCTTTCAATGAACAGGCCACGAACATCCTCCGCGTTGTCGTAAAAATACCAGGCCTAAGATCATCGGCGGTCATCAGATTTGAAAAGTTCCTTCCCAAGATGGGCCGAGAAATAGACAACGGTCGTGCCCAGGTCAACTTTGAAACCCGGTAAGTGCTTCTTGCATGCTGCAGTTTACAGTACAATTTTCTACCTCTACTAAATGCGTTTATGAGTCACCATATATGCATTTTTACCTAAGGTTCGTTGGGGTCACCACCAGTTCTATCGTCGTTACTGACGATGTCCTCCGTGTGCCCCACAGCAGGATGAGGGCAGGGACGCTCATGTGCGCGTGAACTAGTTTATAGTGATGGCAGACTTGCGAAACATCCACCTCACTCGCCCTCCATTCCTCACCCTCCTGAACCCAGTGTCAGGTTACTCAAGAGGACCGGACTGACAAGGTTTAACCAGCCCGTCCGCGCTCGCCACACCCACCATGTCCGCGCACAAAGGACCGAACCAAGGGGGCTCGGGTTCCAATTGAACAGCGATGCTATGGAGGCAACATTAGGCGTTAGCCATAGCAGCCTGACTCTCCGTCCTGAGAGAACGCTACGATTTTTAGCGCACTATGACAATTGAAAGCGCGTCAGGTTGCTTGTAGTGAGGAAGCCGATTCGTATTGGCCAGGCATTTCTCACATGTTCTTTCGGTTCCGGTCTGTACGGCGCGTGCATGCATACGAATGTGTCAGCAGAAGTAAATGTAGAAGCCGAAATTGCAACAGTTAAGCCTCTTTCATTCGTCCGGGTGTTATGGAGTAAATTCTGCTCAACTTAACAGGAAGTTCAAATCCCCTGTCTGCACCC